TGGAAACTACTATTTAGGGGCTATGTAGGGATTAGGGCTTTAGGAATTTAGGGTTTAGGGTTTAGGTAGTATAGGGATAATGGAAACCAAAGTGGAAACTGCTACTTACGATTTAGGGTTCAGGAACTTAAGTTGAGCAACATGATCCCCCTATAATGGAGAATGAAATGGAAAAAATGCAAATTGAAATGGAAACCTGTGGAATATAGGGATGTAAGGAGCTTGAATTAAGTCACAATACAATGGGTATATGGGGAATCGTAGGGTTTCCTATTGCTATAGTAGCCTAAAAAAGTTCCATAACAGCAACCCAGCATCTGAGCAATAGGGCGGAGCATCTAGGCACAATTGCCAGCCCTGGCCCACCACGCTCGAGTCGGAGGACCAGGTGATATTGGACCAGACCACCAAGGATTCACCGGCCAAGCTTCCACCAGAATAATACACGCCATTCACACGAAGCACATCAAAGGACTCTTCCGTGGAGAAGATCGGGACCCTTACCACTGATGGCTGCGGCAGAGACAAGACGCATCTCTCACGGTTCCCATATGGCTGCGGGAAATGAGGGCTCTCCACGCAAGAAGCAAAGGTGCCGCAATCCCCCTCCACAATCCAGGGCGCAGGTCCAGGATAGTAACTGATCCCATGCGGCCTCGTGGCTGTGAAGGTCGTCTCTGCTCTCTCTGTGACTGTGGTTGTTGTCATCGTCCTGGTTGTCCCCTCCTGCTTCCGGTAGACATCGCGGGAGGGCGGATGTGAGTACTGGCTGTTGTAGCAATTGTTGACTTTTTTGCCTTAGTTGTCAAGCATGTAAGGCTTTCCCATGGTTGACCCCGAATCCCAAACCCGAAACCCTAAATCCCAAACCCTAAACCCTCAACCCTGTTTTGGATATATTGGGACCTACTTTACACCAAAAAGATTAACGGCTAACCGCTGGACAGCTAGGTTGCTCGTACCGCAAGTGCCTGCCTCGCAAAGCTCGCCAGGAGCAGCTGACTTGCAGTCAGGCAGCACCTTATAAGTATAGCAACAAAGTAACAATGACAATAACAAGAAGAATAACCGTAATAATAAGAGTAGTACGAACAGTACTAATAGAAGTAATAATCGTCTCTGAGTTTCCGCACTTGGGGGGGGCCATTTTCTGCAAGCCCCACCTGTAAAGGGTCCGGACAATCTTGCACTGGCACCGGAGTTAGGAGCAGTCCATCGCTGCATGAAGGCAAAGGCTCCAGACAAAATTCCCAGCCGCTTTGGGCCTCTGAGTCATCACTGACCCAGGATATGTTCGTCCAAAGCACCAGGCTCTTGCCCTCTATGGAAGTTCCGCTAAAGGTCATCCCATTCACTGTGATTGCGTCATAGCCTCTCTCGGTGTCAAAGGCGACAACATTCACGATGGAGGGGATGGGCGCGGAAAACGTGCAGAGCTCATTGTGCCCATAGGGCCGTGGGTAGTTCCTGCACCATTGCAATAAAAAGACCTGCCTATTGCATCAGAGGTGCAAAGCCTCCTAAACACTGCACAAGTTAACTCGATCTAGGCTCATGCTTCGGACGCAAGGACCCAGCAGCTGGCAATCACCCAGCACCGTCCAGGATGGCTCGTCGCCACTGGACGTGCCCAAGGTGACCTGGGTTAGGAGTTGGCTAGTCGTTCAGGGGCGACAGAGATAGCAAGACTAGCAGTACAGCAGAGGTATGTGTAGCAGCCACCGCCGTTGCAACAGTCATAGCTGCATCTCAAACAAACATGATTTCAGACTGCGAATACTGGTGAATGCCCTAGCAATGGCCCAGTTGCGGTCAGTGTGGTCGACGTCACCGTGGTAACAGAGCTTGTCGTTGTTGTCACGGTCCTGCTAGTACCGGTGCCTTTATGATACACATCCCGCGAGGCGGGATATGAATAATGCTGGTCGTAGCAGTTGTTGATGTCCGTCCGGGTGCCACATGTGCCATCGCCCTCACAAAGCTGACCGGGCTCTGCATAGCCACAGCTCCGAAGAGCTTCGGTCACGGGAGGGCATTCGGAAATTGGCACCGGGGTCAGCGGCAACCCGTCATCACAAGAAGGCGGCTCTTCAACGCAAAGCTGCCAGCCTGTGGAACCAACTGAGTCATCAGACGTCCAAGAGATGTTTGACCACACAGGGAGGGCTCCTCCAATGAGCCCCTCGCCAGATCCGCTGTAGCGATGACCCTCGATCACTAGCACGTCATAGCGGGACTCCGTGGAGAATGCTAGAATCTTCACAACGGACGGCCGCTGCAGCAAGGAAATCGTGCAGCTGTCCCCATTTAGATAGGTTGCTGGGAAGCCTGGGCTACTTACGCATGCACCTTCGGCTGCGCAGCTGCCTTCCACAGCCCAGGCATCCGAAGAGTCTGAGGCTAAGCGTCGTGCGCGTAGCCGCGGGCTATACTCCGGGCTTTGCGCCTTGGAAAGCCCGGGCAGCAGCGCTGCGACCCAAAGCAGCCCGGAGCCGACACAGGCTGCCAGGCGGCCCATTGCGGGCGCCTGCAACTTGGGGCCCGGAATCTGCTCTGAGCAAAAGCCAAGCAGAGCTTACAATAATGGAGAAGAAAATGGAAACAACTCGGGATTATGGGGAATCTATAGTGTATATCGGGTATATGTAGTTTGGGGGTTATATTTGTGCGACAACTCTTCTCTCAACTGCCTCACCTTTGCCTGCATCACTCATGCTGCATTGCCAGACTCACCACAATGCAGCCCATGCCTAGACCCACGTGCATCTAGGGAATAGTCGTGTATTACCAGCCTTCCTCCTAAAAGGCCATCAGAACAATGAGGGCCGCAATAGGGATAACACAGCCACTTTTAGGCCAGCCTAGAAAACTGATGATACAAAAGCAGGTTTGCCTTCTGCTGATTTGCTGCATAATTTGAATGCATTCAATATGATGGTAGTTCCGAAAATCAGAATCCCATTTTGGTACCCCTAAATATCATCTATAACCAAGAGGCGCCTCTAATTTTGAGAACACCCCATGTAGCGATGACCATGGCATCCTATCCCAACGATCTGGGTGTATTCATGTCATGTAGTTGAAGGGATGAATATCCTACTCTCTTGACATCTGTGCAGGAAAGTCTACTGCGCATAGGTACCCATGCGCAATCTTTACGGCAGTTGTCTGCCGGTGCCTGGTGTTGATGTTGACTGCGGAATTTCAGCCACATACATACCATCGGCTCATGGTTTCCACTGTAAATGCTGCAACGAGCCCGTAGCAACTTCTGATGCGTACTGTCGTTTTCACACAGGTACATTACGAGACCGCCGAAACCCATCCAATGGTCCCTAAAGCTTACCAGCGACCATGTCAGAAGGCCAAAAACACAAAAAAAACACGCCAAGAGCATGTTGAATCCTTCAAACAACTTCAAACCTACCAGAACCCATCTAAACCATGACTAATCCAAAGGCCTCTGTCTTCTCCCCGACAGTCAAGTTCATTTGCTTCATGGACATGGCCATCGTTGCTGTAGCACCTCGCAGGACAGCCAGTCATGTTTTTAAGGGCGTGTGGTTCGCGTTCGCGTCAAAAGGCCATGGGGTTCTGGGTTTGGAATCCCCTCCCCGAATGTTCAAAAAAAAACACCCCCTAATCTCAGATATTCCCATCGTGGCATGTTGTAATGCATTTGGAATATTCCATATTAGGGGGGTCAGGGGTTTGTAATGCTAGGGGGAGGGGATTACGATGTTGAGGTTGAAGGGGTTGGAGCTGAAAATCAGTTGTCTGAAGCTGAAGACTTCAGCAGGCTCGGAGGAGGTCTTAGTCACGTAGATTAGTGCTTAGGGTTTAAAATTTGGGGTTGGGGTTTAGGGTTTAGGGTTTAAAATTTGGGGTTGGGGTTTAGGGCTTAGGGTCAGCCAAGGCCTCATATGCAACAACAAGTCCTTGTCGAATCCTAGATACATGACTCATAAGTGTGTGAGAAAGGGAGCTCTATGCCCAGGAATTGGCGTTCTGTATCGGCATCAAATCATGTTTGGTATAGAGAACAGCGAATTCAGTATCGAAAACCATGCGAAAACATCAACATCTGGGAAACAGAGGAGACCTCCAATTCCAAAGAGATCTCCTTTGGGTTATGTTCATATGAGCCATAGCCTAAACTCCTAGCATCCCCTTAATAACCTCTGTAGTAGAGGCCTATATGATCTCTTATATAGCCCGCCTTTAAGGAGCTTAGAATATGAATTCTCGTATGAAAGCCTCGGGGAAACAATGCCACCCAAGGAGATCCCCCGTCCCTCATTCCAGCAGATTGTTTTATGGAAGCTCTTCTATGAGCCCCACCTAAAGCCAACCAAAGACGCAGAAAATTGAGGTGAGTAAAAGTTTGAAAGAGGTTTCCTTTACATCGTTGTGTCTAAAATCTGTGGCAGAAGGCGTACAAAAAGAACCTAACTTTTCATTTCTGAAATACAGACATTTCAACCATTAAAAAAACTCTGAATCCTACTTAAACCCCAAAACCCTAAACCCCAAAATCCTACAACCCTAAAACCCTACACCCTAAAACCCTAACCCCTAAAATCCTCAAAACCCCAAGAAACTCCTCGAAAACAGAAGGCCCCAGAGCCCCAAAGTCCTGGCGAAGGCGTCGGCCCAGGCTTGCCGCCAGGAGAGGCGGCCTCCTCCTGCTAGGAGTAGGTTTTAGGTATCAGGGATTAGGGTTTAGGGGTTAGGGTTTAGGGATTAGGCGTTACAGTTTAGGGACTAGTGTTAGGGATTAGGGTTTGGGCACTTGGGGTTGGAGGAGTTTCGGGTTCAGGGCTTGAAGTTGAGGAGTTCTAGCAATGGAAATCTGATGAAGCATGGCTTCAATCCATCTTTCTACGTCTTTAGGGTAGCGGGATACAGTTGTTCCCAATCCCAGGCTTCTACTCTTGAGAGATTTCTCCCAGAGGGATATATGCTTAACATATAGGGCATGTATGTAGAGGTCCCCCTAAGCATTGTACAAGATTTGTTGGGAGAAACTCCCAGATGCCGGTGGTCAGGCTTCAGTTGCCCGGTCTACTGGTTTTACAGGCTTGGATCTATGAAGGCTTCGCAGGAGCTACCTCGAGCATCCTAGGGACTAGGGTTTAGATTAAGAAGCTGCCATGTCAGGGTTTGGGTTTTAGGGTTCAGGCGTGTGGTTGCTCAAAACTGCCCCCTGACTCTGTGCGTATGATCTTGGCCGGCTAGACTGCAATTTCGTCGTGGAGGGGCTGGGCAAAGCATAGTCCCTTTTCGAGGCTTCGATAAAACCGATGTCATACCCGAATACTTAGCAGTCAACACAAAAGAGCCCTGGGCGCTGCAGGACAAGCGCCCGACCGCGAAGCCCTGCGAAGTCTGGCCCATCCTCCGAGGAGGGCGCAATCGCGGGGGGCTCACGCAGCGGTTGTTTAGGATTTAGGGTATAGGATATCAGGAGTAGGGTTTAGGATATAGGGTTTAGGGTTCAGGGTTCAAGGTTCCGGGTTTACCTGTGACCTGAATTGCTTACAGTTTCGTGGGTTTTACAGTACCTACTAATTATGGGGTACATACTAGACCCTAAGCCCTGAACCCTACACCGCGTGATAAACTGGATTTACATTTAGGGCCTAAGGCTTATTTAGCGTTTAGGGCGTCAACCAGGGAATAGCTATGCAACAAGCCCAGATTGAAGCCAGGTGAGCGATATTAAATGGGCTTATGGTTTAGGCTTCTAGGGGTTTAGGGTTCAGGGCTCAGGTTTGTGGCAAATGAAACACAGCGGGATATTTAAGGATAATGGGAAAGAAAATGGAAAGTATCATTTAAGTTTTACCATTCAGGGGGATATTACCCGAATGATGGAGAATCAAATGGAAAAGAACGTGGAAATGAAATGGAAACCGTGATTTTATGGCATGTTCATAGGGATTTGGGAGGATGAAATGTTTACCACAGGGCATGCCCATCAATGACAGGAACAGATATGTGAGTAGCATTGTTGTTGTGACTGAACCTATATTCATACTACAGTGCTCAAAAAAACCATACCCAACAGAAGGATATAATCTTGCAATATACTGGGGAGTACCGTATGTATCCCAAATAAAATGCTACTCATGAAGCTTTTGGAAAGGAGCAGACTATGGACCAAACGAGTGTTGACCCCTCTGCACGAAACAGGCTCCACGCGAATGAAATCAAGGAACTCGCGCTGAGGGACTTAGGAAGTAGGCAATGGGAAAGAAAAATGGAACCTCCCATGTACGTCATTCTTGCTCAGTGTAATGACATCGTATCTTACGACTGTAGTGAGGGGCCTGTTTAGCAGCTAACCTTAGCAACGTGTGGGTAGCGGGTATTTTTGCTGGCGTGGGTACACCAGAATGTTTGTTGTGCCAGTGGTCACGGTGCAAATGCAACTTCACTAGTAAGGTTTGAAGCGCCTGCGATCCTTGACAGTCAGGGATCAGCTCGGAAACGGCTTCTTGGATTTGGAAGCAGCAAAATACAGGAAATGCCAGGAATTCTGTGTGTATTCAGGCAAGCATATGCAGACTTGAATGTTTCATATGTTGCGAAATCCCATCAGTAGCGACAATAGGTCAAGGCCCTGCAAAGACACTGCAGCTTAGGCTTTTACAGAAGGGCTCAAGGATTTTGGTTTGTATAATCTGCTTCTTTTGTGTCAGGTGGCAAGAAATGCTGCATGATCCCTTTCGCTAGGTCTGTCAGGTACAAGAATCCCGGTAGGATCAAGGACTGACCCCTAAGAAGTGGCCCTGACGGAAAGGCTGCTGAAGGGGCCTGTCCCACATGTGAGAACCCTTGGGAATCTACCAGGGTAGAGGGTGGATAATAAAATTGTATATGTCTAATAAGTCTATCTAATAGCTGAGAAGCGCAGACGTCTAGCTGATTGAGCGTTTGGCTGCAGAAGGTGCAGGGCGGATGATACTGCTGATGGAGGAAATCTTGCACCGCCTTTAGTCCCAAAAGTCCTAAGAGATCCTAAGAGTAGCAATAATGCAGGAGTTTTAGGTGGTGCAAGATTTCCTCCCTCAATAGTACTCATGGATCAGCTACTCAAATCTGGATGGTTCGCAAAGGGGACCCCTTACATACCTCCCTTGTGGAGCGACACCAGAAACAGGACCCCAGAAGAACCAATCAGGGTTTGTCGGCAAGCAAAACCGCATGAGCAAGATCGGGGAAACATGGCACCACAAAAGTTGTAGAGAGATGTAAGCACCAAATAATGTAACGTCCTCATGATCACCACCACCATTGCCACCGTCGTCGCCGCCAGCGCCACCACCACAACAACAACGGCAACAGCAAAGCATCATCAACAACAGCAACAAGAACAGCATCACCATCACCAACCGCATAATCATCGTCGTCTCAGATGAGTAGTTTTTTTGGCGGTTAAACCCAGTAAGATTATATTCTGTATATAAAATACTATACCCCAAAAGGAGGACATAATCCTACTCTATATTGGGTACCATAGTACCCCCAAATAAAATACTACTCATTTGCCTCTGCCCCCCTCCCGTCGCACCCCTGGCGCGTGCTGCCCGCTTTGCTCTTGAAGAGGTCTGCATCCACTGGCTTGACACGGCCACCAGTGGCCTGCCTCAGCACACAACAGGCTCAGGTTTGACGCAGACTTCGCGAATTCAGGATCTAGGTTATCTGGCTACATCTCAAACAAAGAAAGTCTTCTTCAAACGAATTCGGGTGGTCGCCTCTAACAAGGCTGCGAAACTCTGACACACCTGAACCTTGCATCTTGAAAATTTGTTTTGGAAGCTGCTCAAGTGCGGGTTCGGGGTTACTGCAACTACGCAGCACAAGCGTGAATGTCAAGTTGACGGCCCGCACAATACCTTCAGCCTCAGACGTCAAACCCGATGCCCCTGCCATGAGAAGGCGAAACAGTCTCGGCTTCTAGAGGCTACTAAGTGTTTAGGGTTTAGGGGTTAGGGTTTAGGGTTTAGGGGTTAGGGTTTAGGGGTTAGGGTTTAGGGTTTAGGGGTTAGGGCTTAGGGGTTAATTAGGGCTACTACGACAGTCTCTTCAGTAGAAAGAGATCCAACATGAAGTATGCTTTCGGTATAGAGTTTGAAGTTTATGCTGCAGCGAGAGAGGTGTGACGACTTAGATTTTCTTGCAAGCCACTTTTGACTACTTTCATTACCAGTATTGCCGCTGCAGCCACAGGTACCTGTTTGAGGCCATGATCACACTGGAAGCAAAAAGCCCAAAACAATCCTCAAAAACAAGAGAACTAGAGAGAGCCTATTTATGAGACCCCAAGCCTTCTCTCCTGCTCCCTAAATAGTAGTTTCCATTTTCTTTTCCATTATCCCAATATGTCCCCAATAGTAGTTTGCATTTTATTTTCCATTATCCCTACATAACCCCAATTTATACCCTAATATATACTATAGTAGCATCCATGTTCTTTTCCATTACCCCTATACAACTCCAATATATAGCCTCATATACAACAGTAGTTTCGATTTTCAGAATCTGGGACGGCAACTCTCCGGTTGGCTCCTTCTTGTGCTTGGCAATGAAAGCCTGCTCAAGGGCAATGTCTCTGAGGCAAGGCTTCGGCTAACTTTCTGGTGGCTATAGTCCCCCTTAAGTAGATAAGCTTTGGGTATATTATATTAAGATCCCTATATACCCCATATTCTATCTACTGAAGGAGGACTATAATTAGTAGGGAATACCGGAATATATGATATAGGGAGGTCCTTATTTGCTACTAACCACCAGCAAGCTAATGCGGGATACCTGGATACCTTGTGGGTGCGATGACGGAAACATGGCCATTCCAAGTATCGTCATCGAACCGATGCTAGATTGCTAGACCGCCAACAACAAGTATTGAACCTCATCGACCTCGAACTGCAACAACCTTCCTCTCCACCCAGCCCCCCCCTCCATCCTTCCCCATAAACCCTAAACCCTAAACCCCTCCGATCCATGCATCCCCTCCATCGCCTCCATGAGCGAGGGTGGTTGGATGGAGGCGAGGATGGAGGGATGCAGTGCATGGAGGGGAGGGGCTGGATAGCGGATGAATCAAGGCAAGGGCCATGCACTGACAAGGAACCGAATCGTCAACAGCAAAACATCGCAAGTAATCCTTATATAACCCCAACATATACCCTATAATCTCTATATAACCCCCAAATATAACCTATAATCCCTACATAAACCCAAATATATATATGCTATATACCCTATCGGCGTACTATTGGTACTGAGGTATCGATGGAATCGATACATTACAACCACGCGAAAGCAAGCATCCTACACTCATGCTAAGAACGAGCCCAATGTGGGTTTAGAATATAGGGGTTTATGGTCTAGGGCCTCAATATCCCGAACCCTTGGCCCCAATTTCCATCGCCCGAAACCTGAGACCATCGCCTTGTCGTAGCCTACCACAGAACCACGCTTGAGCTGCGCTGCGATGGACCTAAGGTTGGATCGAGGTAATAAAGCTGCAAACCCTAAACCCTAAACCCTGTAGCCTCAACCTCCTAACCCCAAACCCTAAGTCCCAAACCCTAAATCCTAAACCACGGTGCCAAGCTTTAGGGCTCGGGGCTTAGGGATCACCTCCCCCAAATAACAAGGGCTGTATAGAATATATAGGGGTATATATGTAATTAGGTAGGGCAATATCTGGTAATTATATAGAGGCTATGTAGGGATTTCATGGGGATTAAATAGGGATTGTATAGGGATTATAGGAGGATTATTGCAACCCCTTTGGCTCTTCTCGTGCCAGAAACTACCCGTCTAGAACTTCTTCTGACATCGAGACCCCACACACTAAACCCCAAACCCTAAAACCGAAACTCAGGGTTCAAGCAACTATAAAACTCACAAACTATAGGTAGAGGCTTTACAGTCTTAGATTCGGTTCAGGATTCTTAGAGGTGGGGCTTGGGGTCTACAAATTCCTGGCTTTTGTCTCAGGATTGGGGGGAGTATAGAGAGATGGAAGATGAAAGACAGTACCTGGAAGTGTCACAGCAGAGGCCAAAAACAGAATGATTGAAACAGCTTATCTGGTTTAGGGTTTAGGGTTTAGGGTTTAGGGTTAGGTCATGAGGTAGAGGAACACTGATGTTCTGATATGTCTAGCCTTGTAGTAGCGAAAGGACGGCTGTAGAAAATGACTTGAGCATACCAGGCCGACAACAGCCATGACCCAAACGAGCCCAACGTTTCCACAACTAGGCACGCAATCCCTTTAAGATCACTGCGCGGTATGTACCTCTGGCACAATCCCTACATGATTCCTTGCACCCAACACCATCAACCAAAAACAAAAAAAAACGGATCGCCGTAGCAGGGGGCGCTGCTCCAGCATTGGCTTCAGGGCTGGGTTTCGATGCAGGAGCTCCGCGTAAGCGTCCATTCCTGCCGAGAATCCCCTTCTGTCCCGCCGATCATCCCGAGCTACCGTAATTCACAATAAGGTTAATCGTAGCCCTCATAATCATTGCCATTGTCACCATGTTCACCGGTTGCTCTTTGTTCCTTGCAGTTATTAACATGCCTTTGCTAGCGCTTGACATTCAGCGTCAAGAGTTCCCTAACAAAGCTCCAAACTGTAAGGCTACTATTTCAGATTTAACACGACACCTCAAAATTCAAGCAACGACAAAGAGAGAAATCCTGTGACGTTTCTTACTGGTTCTTAGTAGGGAATAGGGAAATATATTATATAGGGATTATATCGGGGTAAAATTCTCATTCCCTACTATGACCCAACATATACAATATTATATTGAAATAGTTTCAATTTTTCCAGTATCCCTATATTCCACCGCTAAGAACCAGTCAATTATCGGAAAGAGCGAGCCTCGCTCGTAGGCCTTGCAAAGGGTGGACCACATGTTGGTGAGCTCCTTCCGGCGATACCTGAGTCACAGGGTTGAAGTAAAAGGGGCACCCCGCAAATTTACTGGTGGTTCGTAGGAAATAAGGGAGTAGAATCCCTATATAATCCGTAATTATAGAATACATTCCCGTATCCCGGTAGTCACGCGCACCATGATGGTAATAGATGTACCGCCATAGACATACATAGTTATTGGAAGAGCGGTTGCAAAGGCAACAATGTCAACCACAGCTGCTAGGAAAACTGATGCCGCGACACCACTTCTTGCAGGAGTCCACAATACACTTCAGAGAGGGTGGGATTTGATGTGAGAGAACTGAAGTGATGATATGGGAGTTTTCAAAAAAGGCGGCTCAACATAGACTCCAACATACTCCAACGAGCTATCATCCTTATGATGGGGACTCCCAAAATGGGATCCCGAATTATGTAAGCTCGCATCTCTGGACCTGAACCCGAAACCCTAAATTGCCAAGAAGAAGCATCTGTTTGGCAGTAATGCCATGATTGCTATGGCCTTCTGCAGTACTAACAGCTTTGCCATTGGCATTGTGATTTGCAACATGCCTATGCTCCGGACTCATCAACACAAATCTTTCGTCAACATCCCTAAACCCTAAACCCTAAACCCTAAACCCTAAACCCTAAATTCCCACCCAGGCCTGCCTAGGCCGTACCCACCCTTTTCCCGGGTGCCTGGACCCAGAACTATATCC